TTTCATCAATTTATTTAATTTACCAAAAAGTGTTAAATATGTTATATTTAAAAATAACAGATAATCATGAAAATGTAACAAGCATTGATGAATTTTAAATGTTGTACTTTACTCTAATAAAATGTTTATACCTTGATAAAACAAGAACTCTGCCCTAATATTATGTCTTGGTATTCCGTTAATACTCAGTAGTAAACATAAATAATCATTGTTTATTAACATGCACGTAAGTTTTGTTAATTTGTAAGGGGCCAGAACTTAAATTTCAACATACTTCCTCCATTTTTTATTGCAATAGTTCACTTTTCACGTTTGTCAACACACAAGTTTGATCATTGATATCTTGCATTCCTTATTAGTAAAAAAATCAAATTTTGAAAATTTAAAATGACAACAATTTAACAATATTTTTAAAAAAAATAATTTATAAATTAATACATTTAGAAATGAAATATAATCAAAATAAAATATATGAATCGAGAAAAAGGTTTAATGTTGCAATTAAAAATGAACAGAATTAGTATAATGTTGCATATTTGTAAGTATTATGTGTAATAGAAAAAATCGGGTAATTGGAAAACAAATATTGTACCTTAATTTTCCATGCAAACTTGACTTCATTGCTGATATCTAAGTAGATACTGAAGTCCAAGAGCTCTCTTACACGGGCGTCAAACCTACTCATCATCATCGATTCATCGTCATTCCCAAAATAAATGTTACTCCAAGGTCTCACAATTGATAATTAAGTTCTTATTGTGGTACACCCTATTATTATATAAAAAAGTTACAATAAATATAATTTAAGTTCAAATTATAAATGATCCTATAACAAAAAAATAGACCCTTATTGGGCTGGAGACTAGGAGCCATAAAGTTACGAATGTTGAAAAGAGACTACCTAAATGGGCGGCCCAACAGGGAAAAAGATAAGAGTCCTTGACATAATGAGATGAATATGTAATGCAAAAATTAATAAATTCCAAAAAACGAATATGTAATGCAAAATGTCACACACAAAACGATATCAATTCCTCAACCGCACAAATAAGGCCAAAAGATAATAGATGGATTTCCCATATAAATTAAGTTATGGATATGAATTTCATTTAAATAAAGTAAATATATATTCAGTTTATTCAGTGAAAAAATACTCCGTACTACATACGCACTTTAATTTGTTATACGATAATAGTAATAATAATTTAATTAATTAAGTAATTAAACGCCATGCATTACTATTTACTAACAAACACCCAAGCACAGTTTGTTATTAGCCACATCACCCTTATCCAAGTCTACAGTATCTACAGCACTGAGAAAAGTGAGAATTATATGAGTGAGGTTAAAAGAAAAAAATGAAGCTAAGAAAAAGGGACTTACATAGGATGCAATCCTTCAATGACAAGGATCTTTGGGGGAAGAATGCGCTCAGGAGGATCAAGAAGGCCAGTGACATGATTATAGATTGGTTTATCCACAGCAATCCCATCTTTCAAAGCTTTGACCTGTCTAAACATAAGGTCAAAGTCATTAGCCCTTGGGTGGAGGGCAGTGACCCCTTTCTCCTTCCTCCCATTCCTGTCCAGAGAATGGTAGTCATCAAGGCATATCACTGTGGTGGTGTCACTGATGAGCGTGTTCGAGTCGGGGTTTCCTCCTCTCGGAGGCTCCGCCCCGCCACCGAACACGCTCGTCAGACGCCTCATGAAGGTGCTCTTCCCGCACCCGGAGTCCGCCGCCAGTCCTATCACCACTGTTCTGCTGCTGTTCTCCGAAGATGACGATGAGCATGAAGGGCTCATCGGGATCCTCCCGCTCACCTTTCTGCAGCGGGAAGTTCGTTTCCCGCTGCTTCGGCTCGTCAAAGGTGAGGATGGGACCATCGAACTTGTTGTTGAGTGGTGGAGGGATTGGATTGTGTACACTGTGCAAGCTGCCATTTTTATCCTTTCTTCTTGATTGGAATGTGTTTAGAAAGAAAAAAGACTTTCCTGAGAGTTATTGCATGATCTTCAATTCTTTATTTTTCCCTGAAGAAGTGAAATGGAAGATTGAAGAAAGCTGGTGGCAATTTTGTTTGGATTGATACCAGAAAGTTATCCTAAATATGAAGTGATCGCAACAACAAAAAAGTGTGTTGCTTTTTTTTTTCTTAAAATAAATTGAAGATTGATAATAAGGATGTGAGTTTATGAAGAAAGATATATGGTGGTGATTGTTGCAGTTTTGGATATTCGAGTTGCCACATGGCAGCAGGATGGTGGCTTTTTTAAGATGAGGGAGGAGGGGATATGGTCCTTGATCCATCAGTGTTTTTTACACTCAAAATGATCTTACACACTCAACACGACCTTATAACACCAATTCACCAAAGGTTCCAACAGCAAAATACTTCGTATAATCTAATGATCGACTTTTCTCTACTCGTATTTATTTATGGTAGATTCACTCATAAGGTACTTTTGTCCACATGGATCAATGAGAATGTTGCAGTTGAATTATTTAAATCTAAATTAAAAATGATATCATGATGTGGACCAATCAATTGAATGGTAGGTACGGTGCCCCATTTTTTAAATGTGTACTGCAGTTGTCACCTTTATTTATAGGTGACAACTCCAGTACTTATTACCATGCATTTGATTAGTCCAAATCATTAAATCCCTTTTAATTTAGATTTAAATAGTTCAACTGCATGATTCTGATTGGCCCATGTGGACAAAGGTACGGTACCTTATGGATACCACAGAATCTACCTTATTTATATATTCATCACTTCTGTTTAATTTCGGTAGGTAAATCACTCATGGGTGGGGTAGAAGTCCGAGAACATCTACCGTATTTTATTAAAATAAAAAGAAATACTCTTTATGTTCCATTTAAAGGTTCTTACTTTCCTTTTTTGGACGCCATTACTTTAAGGTTTTCAGTTTCTATTTTAGGAAACAATTAATACTTTTAAATAACAATTTAATCATCAAATATTAAAAATAACACATTTATATCATTACAGTGATCATCAATAACTCATTACATTATATGCTCATCAAAATTATTTCTCAAAATACATTGGAATTAACATATTTAATTATTGTCTAAATAATCGTGTCATTTTACCATGAGAACCTTTGAACGGGACGGAGTTATAAAAAGAGGAGAGGGGTACATAAATTAGAACTAAAACCTTCTAATAAATACAATGATACCAAAAAAACTTTGAAGAAAATACTACTCCCGGGGTACATAGAAACAATAGAGAAACCTTCACTTATATTCATCACTTTATGAAAAAAGATAATCATACGGAGTATACTAATTAAGCTCTTACTTAATTGCAATATTTAATTTTACATTAGTCAACACGCGAAGATTTTTATCATTAATATACTACATTATGTATTTAAATGATTATTGCTAAATTTTTGAAAATTCGCAGTTTAAAATTTTACTTTGAGGCACACTTTATAATATATTTTATAATACAAAATAATTTAATATATAGTAGTATAATGTAATCAAAGAATGATGATAATTCAAAATAAATTGTTACGTTATAATCTCTAAAATAAATTAGTTCTCAAAAATAGAAACGAATGATTGCGAATCTTGGCATGCAATTCTTTATAATGGTAAAAGTTGTTAATAATTATGAATAAATGTGATTTCAATAGCGCATCTGCTCTAAATGTTTTATTAATGTCAACTATACTCTTTATTTAACTGACCGACTTTAAATAGAAGGGCAGATTTGAAAAGTAAAAAGTTAAAAATCACAAAAGTTGTTAAAAACACTCTCTAAATAAAATTGTTTACTTAATTCACCTCACCTATATTACAAAAATATCAATTTTAATCCTCCAACTCAATGTCTTCATTTAATATTGCTACCACAACTGAGTCATTTATATTGTAACAATATTTAACTACACTCGTTAAAATCGATAATAATAATGATTTTTTTCCAAATAGAAGTAATAAAACATATAAACGAAGTGCATAAATATCTATACTTTATTCCTAAGACAAAAGTTATTTACTTCTATTAAAAGCATGTAAATTCTCTAAGTAAAATTGAATATAATGAGTCCTATTTATAAAAATGATAATTCTCTTTGTACTTTATACTCCTCCAGTTCTTAATTAAGTTTCTAGTTTATAAACATTGTTTGAAACTCTTTAACACTGTTTGGCGCTGTTTTGGTGTGAATCATTTGCCAAATAAGGAAAGGTTTGAAACAAGAACTTTAATATGGATCATCCCAAAAAAAGAAAATAGAAACTTAATTACGAGACGTAGGGGTGGACTGAACCGGGCCGGTTTGGGCCTCGGGCCTGGGCCCGGTCGGGCCTCGGTTCAGTATATATAGGCCCGAACCGGGAGTGGCCGGTTCCGGGCCAGACCGGGCCGGTTCCGGGCCGGGCCACCCGCCCTATTATTTTTTTTTTTTGGCTTCTTTATTTAATCCCCTACCCCTCTTTCTCAACCCCAAACCATCTCAAATGGACCAAAATACCTAATCTAACCCAAAACATAAAAAATTTAAAAAAAAAAAAAAATTAATTCCGGCCCGGACCGGGCCCGAACCGGCCGGGCCGGTTCACCATATGGAAGGCCCGGGCCCGGAACCGGGAACCACCGGGCCGGTTCGACCCGAACCGCCGGTGGACCGGGCCACCGGGCCGGGCCGGTTCCGGGTCGGGCCGCCCGGCCCGAGTCCAGGCCTAACGAGACGGATCCCAAAAAGGAAAGTAGAAACTTAATTACGAGACGGAGAGAGTATATGTTATGATCCTATTAAGAAATTCTCTCATAATAATAGTACTGGTAATACGAGATGATCAAATCCAATGCCATAAGCCCATAATTTGTAATTTTGTACAATTGTACGGAGTATATAACAACTTGTGTTGGTAAATGGAATCCAAATCATTTGATATCAATTTTTAATGTTATTATTCATGGCTAAGTCTAACTTTTGCTGTCTGTGATCTAGTTTGGAATTGTAATTGTTTAGTGACTTTAGTCTTATCATTGACTTCAAATTCTTTTTCATAATGTCTATGTAAACGTTACTTATTAAGATAATGACTAATTTGGATAAAAACATTATCACGTGTATGCAATGGTCGTCTCAGGTGTCTTTGAAACATATTATAACAATACATTCATAAAGTTTTACCACTAATGAACATACAAAATTACAGATCGATGTAACAGCGCAACTGCAAACTCCAGCATCTGAAAACACCATGTCAGTGATTTGCATTAAAGTTTTATCGTCACCGGTGACCTCGGAAATGCATATAGATTTTCTGCAAAACACAGCACAAGTAGGATTATGTAGCCCATCAAAGGAATTACGGAGTCCTTCACAAATTGAGCGAATGGACCTGCTTTTATTGTTACAAAACTGGCTTTGTGTACAACAGGGACATATATTTATTTGATATTACGATTATTTAAGAATTTAAGAATTTAGGATTTTGTATGTATTTTCCAAGTAGGAAATGGTTCCAATGAAATGATTCTCTGTGGAAAACAAGAATGGCACAAAATGACACATTTTCTAATTCATGGTAGTGCATATTTCAATATCATTCACATTTCTCTCGTTAGATGTTCTATTTGATCCAATGTTTTACATAAGCACACACACACATGTATTTATGTGTTTAGATAAGTTTCACATCATCATGTTTCTTATTTCCCAGTGTTCAAATAATGGAGTACAAAGGATTGATATATTTCCTCCAACACTTTCGCTTTAAATTACTCACAAATTCTACTTTAATTACATTTTATTTATTAATGACTTAATATATTACAATTTTATATTATAAAAATGTTATATTACTCCAACACTTTCGCTTTAAATTACTCACAAATTCTACTTTAATTACATTTTATTTATTAATGACTTAATATATTACAATTTTATATTATAAAAAGGTTATATTACTCCAACACTTTCGCTTTAAATTACTCACAAATTCTACTTTAATTACATTTTATTTATTAATGACTTAATACATTACAATTTTATATTATAAAAATGTTTAATTACTCCAACACTTTCGCTTTAAATTACTCACAAATTCTACTTTAATTACATTTTATTTATTAATGACTTAATATATTACAATTTTATATTATAAAAATGTTATAAATTTGTCTCTAAATAAAATTTCAAAATATGATTATTTTCTATTTTTTACTAATATCCAATTAAATATATAACGGTCAAAGTTGTGTGTTGGCAAATGTGAAATAAGAACGGAGGTAGTACAAATTTATGATGCATATTAGACTATTAGTCAACCAATGGACAATCCTATGTAATATGACAACCAAAGCAAGCCAGATCATTGTCAAAAAACTCAAAAAATATACTTCCTCCATTGTCACTGACCTGTAGCACTGTCAAGCTTAGCAAAGACTCCAAGCAGAATAATCCAAACCCAATCAAATAAAAGATCTGTAAGTAAACAAAAATGGTTGTTTGAGATTTCTGCCGCCGCGAAAATAATACGGAGTAATAATTTTGTAAGCATTTGAGATATGTACAAGCTATTAACTTACCCCAACCAAAACATGGTCAGAGAATACATCAATTGCAGCAAGGATGCCCCTGCGATAGGTATAGATAACACAAACTTTAGATCGGCGTGGACAAGAGTTGATTTTGCAACAGTATCTTGCAGCACTGTGGTGATAATAAATTTACGGAAAATTGGTCTTAAATGGGAGTAAATATGACCGAATGAGCTGCCGTAGGAGTGCTTATGTTTTTGAGCCTAAATGGGACTAAATTTCATTATTATCCCCATTTTACCCTTAATGATGATACGCTCCAATGCTCCACTCAGGCCCAAAACCCATCTCCCTCATTACTCGGTCCACTCATATCCCAAAACCTCATATCATTTTCTCTTCGTTTTTATTTGCATCGCATATACTCCTTTTCGTTTTCTCTTCGTTCCCAAGGACGGCAAAGTTGTGGAAGAAGTGGGATGACAAAACACCATGGCCGGCAGTTTGTGGATGAAGGTGGGAAGAAGCAGTCGGAAAATTCATGGACGACGGTGAAGTGTCCCACTTTTGCTTCATCTTTCCGTCCTTGTTTCATCTTTTTGTGACAAGACTAGAGCTCACGACTCTATTTCTTATTTGATTGTCAAAAAAATCCAAAATTAATCTGAAAATGCCATTAGAATGGCATTCTTACACTTCAAATATTTCATATTTTCCTCTCAAAATGTCATTCATATGGCATTCTCGATTCATAATGGCATTCTCGATTCATAATGGCATTCTAATGAAAATATTGGCATCGACGGCGGGGTCGGTTAGATCTGCAGCGACTGAGTTCAGATCTGCAACAGCAAAGCTCGGATCTGAAGTGGCAGCGCCGGAATATGCAGGGGCGGCATGCGGCGGCCTGAGGCGGTCAGATCCGACGGCGGCAACAGACAGATCTCCAGAGGCAATGGTTAGATCTGTAGCGGCGACTAGTTCTACGGTGGTGGTGGCGGCCGGCGGTGACCGGCGACGGTGACCGGCGACTAGCGGCAGTCTAGCGTTACTCGCCGGCAGTAAGTTTGGGAAAGCTTGAGGGGTATATATGTCAAACCACAAATAATTATTCCTATTTGGGGAAATTTTAAACTTTACTCCTATTTTAGCAATTAAAGTTCTATTTACTCCTATTTAGGTAAATACCTCTAAATTTACATAATCTAATCGCCCCTCCAGAGAGGGTCTTGTTTGGTCAGGGCTAGGTACAACTCTTGAACTTCATGAAAGCCTACTTAAACTTTTAATTTTTTTGTTTAACTAAGTTCATCATATTGAATTGTTTGTAACTAAGTACAAGAAAATTGAGTTATGTTTTCCGAGATACGAATTTTTTGGAAACACTTCTCTCAAATGAGCACCATGTGTCTCAACTCTCACGTAGAACTCTAATACTCTAAGTTATTTTCATCCAAAAAATATAACAACAGACTATGTCCAGACCTACTTTACTTGGTACATAAAGCAGAGATAAAAGCAAGACTTACGTTAAGGACTTTCCATGAAAGACAATAGGCGGAGCAATGGCAGCAAATATGCAAAATCCAACATGAACCTGCATTAAATGTTATATATCTAAATTTATCGACACAATGAGTCCCAAAATGCATAACTGCTAGATAACACAATATACCATGTAGACCAAGAAAAACCAGCCAAATTTAAGTGCACTGTCAGTCCTGCAATGTAAGAAGCAAAAACCCAAGTGTTACCATAATAGCAGACAGAAACTCCCATTAGGGATGTAGGATGGGAAGTGTTAGAGTTAATTGTGATGTTATAGCTTATGAGATACCTCATTGCATTGTAGAGAGGCCTATACCATAAAACATAGGACAAGGGACATCCAAGTAAGGCATATATTACAGCAAGGAAAAAGATTTTGACACCTATGGAAAAAGAGCCATGAGAGAATTCATCAGAAGCCAATATTTACATTAAACCCATGCTTTCTGTTAGAAGACACCCCTGGGGTAGTAGAGACAACACCATAAGAAATGTGGGCAAAAGATAACGCACCTCCTCCCTTTATCCAGCACACGGTCACAGCAACAATATTGAACGTAAGGCAGAAAACAATACCTGCATAAATTTTTTTGGTATCATGTATGACACCCATTTGCTTTAGTGAAAAAAGTTATCTATTTCATACTCAAATCTGTTAAATGGAAACAAAATACACCATCTAAAGAGGCTAATAAAAGAGAATCAAGCCATGTATACTTCAAGCATTCATTGGCAGTTACAACTTGAAAAAAAATCCAAGCACAAAATTAGAAATTTTAAACACTCGTACTCATTGAAACCAGGAAATTGTAGCTAATGCCCTTGCCTGAACAACGTTTATAACTCACAAGTTCGTTGCAGAAAACCCCCTTTTAATAAGCTAGCAACCCAAGCTTATAAAACTGAATCTGCTTCTAATTCCCCTTAAACGAGGATAATCAGTTTTAAGAATAGTTGCAAACACTTCTTAACTCCTTACACAATTCTCTATTTTTTTTAAAAACTCGATCTTTGATAGTCTTGTAACTCTTCTGTTGCAACCCTTCAAAGGCCCACCTCACAGATACAAGTATTCAATGACCCACCTCCATCACCTCCGGCATCCGATGACCCATGCCAGGCACTACTGCACTACTAACCTCTGGCGAACTCAGCTAACTTGTGACTGACTATAGAGACTCTAAAAGCAAACACGACATTTTTTTTAGATTTAGCACGTGCATACTACATAATTATATGTATCTATGTAATAGTGTAATACAATCACTTAGGGAGTTAGGGCATGTTTGGTTTGGGGAATTTGGAGAGGGGGTTAGTATTTATTTTTAAAATTATTTCTCAAACCACATTAATGGAAATAAAGTGAAGATAAATTTTTATATAGAAAAAACACGACCTAACTAATCATACGATTATTGATAGTCTAATATTAACAATAGACATAAATAACTGGTATAAAATTGATCCACTCCTCTACCCCTATGAAATCCCTGAATCAAACAGGCCCTTAGGGAGAAGGGAATGACTAAAAGAGTATGGAGTTCATAAAAAGATTCCAGAGATAGAAAATGAAAATATCACATACACTTTCATGTCCCTTCTATTTGAAATGAGAAATAAATTAGAAGAACTCTAACTGAGACACTCTAGGAAGAGTTGTGTGTAATGCAATGTTTTCCCTCAGTACACCTAACTAGGACTACTATTTCCGAATATGAATTAGGGTTTGAGCTCATAAACCATACTTGATGAGTTAATGTACCTATATAATCTTCAATGGGAAATTGTCTGAAATAAGACCAAAATTAATGTGAAATTCCAAAAATAAGTCCTAGGTTTTTTTCTACATAGGAGTGCAATATTGTCATCTTGAAATAATATTGTCATATTTTGGAATTGTCAGGCATTAATATGGCAGTATTAATGCCATGATTGGTAATAATTTCCAAGCATGTTAACAATTACTCCGGCGGAAACATTGCACACCTATTTTGAAATTTCACATTACTTTTACTCTACTAGGTTCTAAACAAATATCAACCCTGTGGTTTTCATTTACTTAATGTTATACCATGTCAAAGTGGGTCTTAAGTTAATGAGAGAGGGAGTAGTGGAGTACCCAAAAAAATTATTCATTCAAAGCGAAATTTCATTGAAAGGTCTGGGATGTAAACCAAGTACCTCAATGACCCGTTAAAATATTTAAAACAGACTCAAGCTAACTCCAAAGCTCAAACGAAAAAAACAATCAACAACCAACTGCTCAAAAAAAGACTCCCCAATTTACAAACATTGAATACTCCAACTACACCCTTATAGAGTTACTTCTCATTTACCGCTGAAAATATAATAATTACTATATTAATTATAATACTAGTAGTAATAGTGATAGTAGTAACAACCATAATAACCATAATAAAAACAATAATAATAACCATAATAATAAAGAAAGAACAGGAGCATACCCAGCCAACTGGCAAAGGCCAAATACTGCATCCTCTGAGATTGTGCGGGTATTTCATTAGCAATATCATGATGTATAATTGGAAAAAAGGGAGGCCAATTTTTATCATTCACAACCGGAACACCAGCTATGATGAAGAAATACATTAAAAGTCAGCACAAAGTCCAAGCAGTGACATAGAAGAAAAAATGACTAAAAAAGTTAAATATGTTACGTCTTACCACTCGAGAGCTGATCTTCTCTTCTTTTAATTTCCTGCAAAAGTAGATATGTCTCATAATATGCAAGTTACACATGCCTCTGTCTCAGGTTGAGGTAAAGCATGTAATTCTGAACTAGTTTTTTTCTTTTTTATGTTGCACGCTTGCAGCCCACTGGTATAAGAATGTGTGATTACAGAAACTAAATTTATAGTCTTTCTAGAGCATTTCACTTCTTTTGGAGTATGTTATTCACGCTTAATAGATCAAATGAAGCAGATCTAATATCAACAACGCAAAGTATTCAAAAAACTCTATAAAGGAGGAACACTAATACAGACTCGGAGTCTCAAACCAGACCTTTTCCTTCCTTTTCAATTCAGCTTCCCAATTGGCCAGTTCCTTCTCTTTTGTATTAGGGGCCTGATACACATATGGAAAGACATCAGACTCAGAATTTTAGATGATTGCGCACTAACAAAAATAAATAAATAAATAAAACTCTAAGCATAATGAGAGTTCAGGCCTCATTACCTTCACTGAACCTAGTGGTATATCAACAGTAGCATCATGTTTTTGGCCAAATCCAAAAGTAGGCAACATTTTAATAAAGCTTGAACCTGGTCCAGTAGCAGTCCTGCCATTCTGCAAATAAAATGAACTACCATCTTTCAAATTCAAATTGGAATTTCAAATTCCGCATACAAAATGGAGGTCCAAAGGCATGCCACATTACACCTTTGTGGGTGAAAAGGCCGACGGCCATATGCTCTTAGTTCAACTCAGCAAAGACTATTTAAAAACAAAATAGTAATAATAAGTGGCAGAAGAGTTGGAAACGTTGGCATTTCGAATTTACGATCCCTCCAATATATTACAGAAAACAGCATTTCATTTCTTCAAAATCCATCGCAAAGTTCAGCAGTTAGCCTTCACAAATTTGGTAACCGAAACTCTGAACGGCACCAACCCTAACAGTTGTGATGAAGGAACAGAAATAAATTGAATCTACGAAATAATTTGAGAAAGCAAACACGTTTCTCTAGTTCAACTTCACAGATCCAGATCTCACAATACAATCACGAAGAAGTAGTTTAAGCGTAGAATCCATCAAAAGAGAAGAAAGACTGAGAAAATAAGGCGGTTACCGCAAATGGATTGACGTCATCGTTTTGATGCACTTCTTCGTCAAAAGGGTTGGGATCGTTAACCCGACTCATTGTAATCCGATTTCCCCGGCCGATCTACAAACAATTTCGCGAAATGAGAGAGAGAGCTGTTGCGAGAGAAAGGCGGTGGCCAACTCGGTGTCCACTGCGACAACACTTTGCGTGTTTTGCTGCTGCAGCGTACATATAGCACGCCACGGCGCCGCAAAGGACTCCGTACAATGTTTCATCTATTCCATACTTGGAAACCAATTTTGTCAAATTAAACTGAATAAATTAATTTAGATTAGACTTTCATTTCAACACAACCAGTGTAACACCACCGGTAATGTTAATTTGATAGGGGTGAGGTCACAAATACTGATAAACTGTGAATTATTCATAAGATATGATCAAAATTTTGGCTATAATCGATTCTTTTACTCTCTCTGTCGCTTTATATTTCACCAAACACAATTTTATAAGGCAATGGTGTATTGGTGTTGAACTTTGACCGATTATATATTTATATACGGTAGTAATAATAATATGGAAATGATATGAAAATGTTTCTTTTTTTTATTGATATGAAAATGTTCTTTGTTAAAACTTCATGATCATAAAAGTATAAATTTATTAAGTTTTACAAAAATATATTAGTTAAAATAATAGATCAAAGTTTATCATCTTTGACTGAGAAAGTCAAATATGGCTAAATGAGGGACGAAGGTAGTATGAACTAACCAACACCATGAAATACGGGTGATGAATCGCCATCTTTTGGAGTATGAATTTGGGGTTATATTGTGATTTATGTGCTTAGTATTGTAATAGTTATTAATATTTATATGACTAATTATATGATGAAAATGATTATAAGAAGTGTTGAATTGGAATTGGAAATATGTGGAGCTTACAATTTTACATTAGTTTGGATATTCACGTTTATTATTAGTGTTGTGCGATTAGAGTCCCGTTCACGTGAACTAAAGTTCCATTATTTAAAAATTTGGTCTTGAATTAGAGCTTCACTGAAATGTGTAAGGTTAATTTTTAATGATTAGAGTCGTATTACATGTATTAGAGTCTCATTTAAAAAAAATCATGTTGTACAATTATTTTGCAAACAAAATTGATATGGTGTTTATTCCGATAATTATACTCCATTAATATGGTTGATATTAATAAGTTGTTATATTCGCCGGATATGAATATTTATGATCTGAAAATTTTAAGATCCGGTCTGATCTAATTTTATTTTTTATGATATAGTTTGATAATCTTGTATGATCCCGTGGTATGCATCTTTCTGATATGATTTGAATCTTTCTGATCTGATATGAGTTTTTCTGATCTGATATGAGGTTTTCTGATTTTGATCTAATCTGAAGCATTTCGATCTGATCTAAATATTTATTAAGTGATTGAGTGTTTATTAGTATTATAAGGTTATTATTATGATTATTATTGTCATTAATTATTATCATCATATTTATAATTATAATTATCATTATAACTATAATCACAATTATAATTATAATTACAATTACAATTTTAAGAATAACTATAATTATAATATCATTTTATTATCGTTATAGTTATCCTTATTTTTATAGTTATGATCATCATCATAATAAGTGTTATATGTACCATGATAATATGTAGTATTACTATTATAATTAAATATATTAAAGATGCCAACAACCTACACCATTTATAATATTAGTCACTTATAAATACTGATAAACAATATAAATACATTAATAATATGATCATTGATAATAACCATAGTAATAATATACTTCGTATGATGTTTTATAAATAATAATAAAATACAAATAATGACTATAATAATAACAATATTCATAATTAATTTCAATGGAAGCAACGCACAATAATTGTTGGAAATATGCCCTAGGACAATCATAGTTTATGATTTATCAATAAATATTTAATGCTCATTAATTAATAAAGTTGCAAACTCATTTTATGTTAATTATTATTGTGAGTTTTCTTTATTAATATTTAGTCCCTGAATATTCTGTTTAGTAGCTAATTAAGTATGTGACTTAATTGTGGAATGCTACACTTTAAAATAAACATAATATTCTAATTGTCCCTGGTCTAATATTATTAATTTGGGACATTAATAATTAATAGACCAGTATGTGGATTAACTGATGGCTATATTCCACTAGTCATGGGTATAGAGATATCAAGTTAATAACATAGATGCTTGTTAGGGAACAAGTTCATTGGACAGACCCAACTTGGGGACACTGCTAGGTTATATGTCATCAGTGTTGTCCTCAATAATGATGAGGTGCTATATTCTTATACTTGAGATAATCATGGTTACTAGCATGAGAATTAATATGTATTAACACCATTAAATGTTATCTTTAACTGGATAATTATAAAGGTGGTGATTGTACATATTATGAACCATGTAGTAGTATGTGAATTATCAAGATAGTTTTTGTCACTCTTGTACATCGAGAGAAAGATATCTGATAGAGTATTAATTCTAGAGAGAAGTGAGAGCTAGAGAGAGAAAGTGAGTAATTATATTTCTCAACCTCCTATAACTAGCCCCAAGGGGTCTATTTATAGGTAAAAATGTGGATTTGGGCTCCTAGCCATGGGCTTAGGAGGCCCATTACAATAATCGTGCCTTCTTTGGGCGAAATAGGGCCACTAATGGGCTGAGTACAATACTTAGCAAATAAAGTAGAGAGATGCATTCTGCTAGGACGAGGCCTGGCCGATGCGGTGCACTTTTGGCCGATGCGGTCCCATGGCCGATACGGTCCATGGGCCGATGCGGTCCCGGGAGTCCATGCGTGCTTCCTGGGCCGGTTTGGTTTCTGGCCGATGCGGACCCGCTGGCCGAAGGGGGCCACGTGGGTGTTCTTCTGGCCATCGTTGACTTGAGTATGTGGGCCATGGGGTCCGGGCCCATATACTCTATCAGGAGTCCCCCACTCTCTGAGCTGAGGTGAAGCCGAAGCGAAAGGGAGTACTTGTTCCTTTCTGGCTGGCCGTTGCGTGAGTCTAAGGCGTTTGTTGACCGAAGAGTTCCTGCTTCGATTTCGGACGAAGCGGTTCCCTTATTTGATGTAGATGAAGCGTGCTTGGGAACTTCCTAGTCTTGATGCGGGCCGATGCACTCTCTGTGGAAGTGCCTTCGAAGACGAGGCGATGCGCTTTCTTTTTTGTAGATGTGATGAATTCTTGGATAATTTGGCATGCCTTCGCTGTTATCTTGTTGGAGCCGAAGAGCTCCCGTTTATCCTTTTGGCCGTAGCGAAGACCTATTTCCATGAGGTGAAGATGGTTTTATTCTGTTTATGTAGACGATGCGATGCGCACCTTTGATTTGTTATGCAGCCGAAGCGTTTTGACTTGTGAGTTTTGTTATGGTGAGACGATGCGGTCTTCTCAGTGTACGCAGCCGTTGCGATCCTCTTGCGTTGGTGGACGTAGCACTGCTAGTAAATAAGCCGATGCGCGTTGCTCTATGTTGTGTAGCTGTTTTAGTGTTTTTATAGCCAATCGCAATCCTTAGTATTTTGATGGCTAGCCGATGCGATCTTTTGTTATTGGCCGTTGCGTTCTCTCTTTTTGTGGCCGATATAATCCCCCAGTCCCCCACTCCTTTGGCCGAAGAGCATCTGAGGCACAAGGGAGTAATGAGTCGATCCGGTACCTATGCGTTGGTCGTGACTCCAACCCTTAGGCGAACCTGTCCAAGGTAACCCTGTGGGAGAACCCTTGGACGAAGGCCGCAATGCCAGGGTTATCATCGACGATGCGCGCACAAGCAGCCGTAGCGGTCTATTCAAGGTTCTTTGGGGTTGCTTTGGGGCCGTAGCGTGTTTTGTTGATGCGGCCATGTCTTTGGTAAAATTGGGCCGTAGCGGGTTTCTCCTTGTTTTTTGAGTGAGTAGGCCGGTGCCTACCCTAGTCTCAGGGCCTGTTGGGCCGTAGCGGCGGTCTCAAAGTGGAATGTGAAAAGACAAGCACTGATTGGCTTTAGGAGAGGTGCCGTAGAGGTGACCAATTGGAGTTTGCCACGTGTAGTGACCGTTGGAGGGGGTGCCTATAAATACCCCCAACTCCGAAGCCATTCCCTCATTTGCCTTTTGCCTAAGTCGAATTGCTGCTGAGATCCCTAGAGAGAGAAGTGCTTCCCCGAATCTCCAGGTGTTCAAGTGTTCTTCAAAACTTCAAGGTTAGGTTCTTGTAATTGTTTCTTCCTTTTTCCTTACACTTTGCTTCCTAGGGGGTTAGATCTAGTGTTCGTAGGAAAGTCACTTTGATCCGAAAAACCGCCCTTAGGAATAGGTTTAGGTGTTATGCCGTTCCCTAACGGCTGTAGCATTCCCTCCCCCATTGATTTGACAGCTTCTTTGGACGAGTCGGATTGGCCTTTTGACGAGGACGACACGTCCCCTGGAGTTGATCTTCGACTGATTGAAGCCTTCGAGATCGAGATGGAGAATACCGCCGACTACCGCACCTCTGTAGATGAGGAGAGAATGAGTGCCGACGCGGGAGCACATAGTTCTGGTGAGGACGAAGCGACATCTAGCTCGCCTCTGAGGGGGGATGAGGCATCCTCTTCTGCCCACATTCCTTGTCCTCCGCCGATATCGTCAGTAGCGGGGGAAGGCCCCTCGGCTCCTAAGACAAAAAAACCGTACCGGCGGAAGCAGCGTAAGGGAGTACCGCGGGGGTTTTCACAGTTAGATCTCAGCAACTTGTACATCATTCGGCCGGAGGGTTCCCTCGGCGAGTACCATGTTGCACAGCTGTACGTCGGTCCCTACGGCCGTGTCAGAGCCCCCCTGCCGTCGGATCACGTTTTGAACCCGCCGTTAGGCTATTTTGGGGTGTATCCGATGAGCTTTGCCAAGGGTTTGAGGTTCCCTCTTCATCCCTTCATCAAGGAGTATCTTGACATGGTGGAGCTCCCTCCGGCCCTGTTGACTCCCAACAGCTTTTCGCTCATCATCGGCTTCTTGATCCGGTGTAAAGAGTTGGAGATTCCGCCGACGACTGCCCTGTTCATGAACTTGTTCCGGATAGGCCGAGGGAGCCATCAGAATTGCGCCGGCTACGCAACTCTGCAGCAGATTAGTGGGAGGAGGTCGTTTACGGATCTCCCTACGTCTATTCATGGCTGGAAGGCCAAGTTTGTGTTCGTCACCTTGGGTCAGGGTGGCTTCTTCCCTTCCAATGGTCACAGCGGCCTCTTTCAGTTGCACACCCCCCCAT